TATAAAGTATATTAATATATAGGATACAGGGATAATAATGTAAAGGTCCTTAATATCAAGAAAACATGGATGACACCTGATAATTACAGAAAATTTGTGTAATTAGGGCTAGAATGGCACTAAAACATCATGCAGACCCTTATTATGTCAGGTACTCTGGAAGAGCTCATTAAAACTATAAATTGATTAAATTTAATGAGCCTTACATTTTCATGAGCCTGACATTAGTCTTATGCTTCGAAAAACTATATACTCTGTTAACGTCCAACAGAATTAGACAATCTGTGCCTATGTCTAATAGTCAGCCAGGTAACTTTCAGTGAGCATCGGGCCTGATCATGCTTAGCAGAAAAGGTTCTTCTTCTATTCAGTCAGTGGTTTCTTAGCTTCCTATTTTTGTTCATCTGTCTGAGGTCTACTGCTTGGAGATAAAGTTTTAAACTTATGCATAGGTATCCATGGATCTTTGATATAAACTTTGCTCGTTGGGGTGAAGATTTGTATGGTACCCCCTTGTATTGGAAAATATACAGGGCCAGGAGAGGGTGACTTTGTCCTATGAACTGTGTAGCTCATTCAAGGAGACCTGGAAGATGAAGAAGCCAGATATGCTTGAGTGACTGGTTCACTAAGTGAACTTCTATAGTTGAATAAAGAGTACTTGAATAAGAACACATGGTGACTTTTTAGTCAGACCTTGCCATGGCCAAGGAATGAGAAAACATAAAGGTAAAAAGGAAAAAGAAAACTGTAATTACACTTTGACTGGCAATTGTTGGTTGAAGAATGCTTCAGTTGGAGTAAATAGAATTGTGCCCTCTTATATGATTGGTGTAGGAGACATATTTGACTTTTCATGGAATTTATTCACATTGAGGATAAGACAACAGTTATGGGAGCTACTGGTTACTGACAAATATTTGATCATTCTGGGCCATGTAATTTCTTTAGGGATTATGATTGGTTTCCTTGGGTAGTTACAGCATGGTTTGTGTGTCAGAGTTCTATTGTCATGAATGATCCAGTCATTGTTAATTTATCTAGCTTAAAGAAGCTATGCATATACCCCTACTACAGGTGAGATGTCAGCTCTTATCAGTCTCTTTAAAAAGTATGTCTAAATCCCTTGAGATACTACTCAAGAATGAGCTGACCAGACTACATAGCACATGAGGCATTGCCTGAGTGTTCTAATATATCTGGAAATAATGATGACACAGATTTCCTGAGCTGTCTGGAACTTGTGCAGTTTCTTCAAGTGTATTTCCTCCAAGGTGATTAAAGGTGGGAGTGATAATAATCCCCTCCCCATGCCATTTCCCACACTACCCAGCAATGGAACAGTTGGAGTGTGGCATCATTATTTGCACACATATACACATGGCAGCCCTGAGAGGCATGAAACACACTAGATTTGAAAGTTTCCTGAATCCTTGTAATCAGAGCACAGAAAGTAGAAAAGAGGATGACAATTGTTATTCATAGGATATCTGTTCCATGTTGGGTACTGTGCCTGGATCTTAATAATTGCTTCATTTAATCTTCACAAACTGGCTGCATGGGAAGTAGTGTTTCCATTTTATGGATGGAGGAAAGGAGATTCAAAGAGGGCAGTTACTTTGCCAGTTTATAGAGGTAGATAATACATCTGGCAACTGGTTGTAGACTATTGTCTACAAAAAAAGCTGTGAAAAAATCCTAAAGAGACATGAACTCTGAAATAGAACATACCACCATGCTGTCAACTGTCTAACTCTATTTGAGCTTCTCTTTCAAACTTGTCACCTTTGCTGTTTCTACTAATCTTAAACTATGATACCAATATGTCACTCAACCCTCTTCTTATATCATATTAAAACACCTGCCTTAAGTTAGACTTCAAAACCTCAATAAGTCAGAGCTTGCTTACACTCTTTAAGACATTAATTATTACTAACAGTGTTATCAACAAATTTAATTTTTATCTGGTAGATAAGTTCACTCAGTACTAGTGTAATATTTGTATAGTTAAATTTTATGTGCCCCTTCGCATACTTTATCAATACATACTTTATTGGCATGTTTCTTTTTTTTTCCTACTTTTTTGTGGTCACATTGAAGCAGCTAGATGTGCACATTCTGATGAGAATATATACACAGAGCCAAGCTTCTCATCTAGATATGCCTCAGTAGAGAAAGTTTTCATTCCAGTGTTCTATCTTCTTGGTTTATATGGTAAGGTGTTAAATAGCAATGGAACATAGCATTTGCTAAACATAATCTGAAAAAAGTATCCAGGTACGCATAAAATCTATCATGTCCTGAGGATATAGAGCATACCACAACAAACTGTAAAGTACAATTCACATACATCTATGGTGATTATTTATTTTGATGATGATTGTAAAAACCTAGGAAAAGAGGGATGGAATTAATGGAATAGCAAAATCAAATGTGTAAAACTTAGTTGGATATGAAAGGACCTTACGAAATAATTTAGCAATGACTGTTTGAAGACCACTCTATTTGGGTAGGAGAGAACAGAAAACAAAAGTGAGATATTTTCCACCCTAATCATTGGTCTTTTATTGAGATCCCTGAATCTTTCTTCTAGAACCTCATATTCTCAGTGACAAAGAATGGGGAGGAAAACAGTAACTATATGGGGAAAAATGACAAACAAAATGGTAACCATTATACTTACTGGATAATAAATAGACACAAAATGCTTTTGAGGAGACCAAATGTGTGAACTGAAATGTACATTTCTGTATTTTAACAAGTCTGCAATACCATACCTGCATAGCTTTCATATCACACACCTAAGACAGCCCTTAGGAAGAGTTACTGCATGTGGGGGAGAACCAGAAAGTTTCTCTCTAGATGCTTTCCAAAATACCCACATGGAATCAGAGCAACTGCATCGCATCTGAGTTATAAACTAGCTCCACAGTGAGAGAGTAGACGAGGCAGGGTTTCCAAAATTATGTTGAGAAATTAAAGGCATAAAATTATATATTTGGTGAATGAAAATCTGCAGTAAATACCAGGTAATGATATTCGGGTGTCACAATGTTTCAAGGTGGTTTTGAAATCTGTTATGGGCGATAACTGGTGCACAGGAAAGGACAAGAAACCATCTTCACGATGTACAGTTGAGATGGCGAGGGCAGTCTTCTCCAGCATGTGGTGGGAAAATACTTGTTCCCTCAGAATGAGAAAGCAGGGGCCTGGATGGTAAATGACAATTCAGATGTCAAACTGAATGGTGCAGCTTTGGAGCTCTCACAATTTGAATCCATAGAAAGTGTATGAACTCAGAATAAGTTATGGCATCAAATTTTCACTTAGCCGTCTCTACTTTCAGTGTGAAGGTATGCAATTTGTGTTGAAAATTGCCTGTTGGTTTTTAGCACGGCAAAACATTAGCTATTATGGGGATGGAGGCTCGCATAAGTATTTTTATAATGTTATAATTTTATGGCAATTAATATGCATTTTATCATCCTGCTTCTTACCATATACACCTTTGTCTTCAAGCTCAGCATTTAGCCTAATTCAGTAAGCTAAAGCATATTCAGTAGTAACCAAAAATGAAAGATATTTGAAAAACTGACATCATGAAACACTTGATATTTTCATAAGAAAAATAATTTAGGGATACATGCCTCATTTATATTCCAAATATTCTGCTCAGATGAATGATTCTTTTCCATGGAAGAACTATGAATATTAAACCATTGCATGTGCTTTCTGTTCTATTCTCATTTTAAATAGCACCAATTATATCATTCTGCAAATCATTAAATCTTCTAAAATAAAATGTGCAGGTCTATCATGGTTATTTCAAGAAAATGCGATTTACTATAAGATCATGAAAAGGGGAATTTTTACTTCTAAGCTTGACCTGTATTGAAAAGTTATGAGAACAAAATGAGTAAATTTTGCTTATATAATTATAGCCACACCAGTCTTATTTTTTCTTGAAACATGTTCTTCTCCCTCCCAAGAGTTTCTACAGCATTTTGAGGGGTTTATAGTTGGTTTGTGAACATAAATATAGGTGATGATTGTCCATCTAATGTCACATTTCATAATTTCCTTCAGCAAAGTAGCCGAGAAATTGCAGCTTGATGAATGTTGCTCTATACCCAATTTTTTAAAATATTCCCAAAGGGAAGGGAAAATAGAGTGGAAGATAATGCAATGGATCGATTCCACTAAGCAACTGAATATAATATTATTTAATTGAAGTGACTTTAAAGCATTTGAAAAGCATGGAAATACATAAAATTTGTTCAGAGCCCTAGGAGACCCTCTCCATTGTTTCTTTTCCTAGTAGGATACAATTTGCCTTTCCGGATGCAGGCATTCCTCATTATGTAGCAGCTAAATGCCTTGAGACTGATTTAGGCCCAATTTTAAGGATAAACTGAAACTGACTAAACTAGGGATTGGGAAACATTCTCTGCAAAGGGCTGGAGTGAAAGGATTTTAGGCTTTGTGGAGCCATGTAATATCTGCCAGAACTAATCACGTCTAAACTTGTAGCAGCCCGGGAGAGTGTATCAACAGATGGGGGTACTTAACGTTCCTATAAAAGGTTTCAAAACTGAGCTGTGGGTATGATTTACCCTGTGACCCCTGCTTTAAATTCAACTCAAGTGTCACAGTGATTGGTTCAGATATTTGGTGAAGGCATTCTGGGTGGTACTCTCAGTGAGCAGGAACACAAAACAAAACAAACAAGCAAAAACCCAAGCCTTTTTTTTCCCAATTATTATGTGATACAGTATCCTGTATCTACCACACACACAAAACAAAACAGTGGCAGTACCCACCAGAAGGCAAGCAGGTGAAGAGACCTGCCTGCCAGCTACACCGCCACCATAGCCAACACTGGACGCTGTTCCCCTGGAGATCCATTTCGCCCCCAGAACTGCCTACCTCATCATCCTCCCTATGGTAACCCTTTCTCTGAAGCTCCAGGAGATTCCGTAGGCACAGTTACCGCCCATACCATTCTGAAGAACAGGAGAGAGACTGGCCTCCCAGCTGAGCTGCCCCAATCTCCAGACTCTAAGCCCTAGGGCATATCCAGTGCCCCAAACCTCCCACCCCTGCATCGGCAAGGCAGCTGGGGCCCTGCTCCAACTCCTGTGGAATTCCATTGTTCTGGTACAGTCCATATAAGTCAAGGAGCAGGTGAGTGACCAGGCAGCCAGCTGGACCTCTACTACCCAATAGATTCTGTTCCCCAAGACCCAGTATGCCACCCAACTCCACGCACCTCATCATCTTCTCTGTGGCCAGGCCTTCCCCATGACTCCAGCAGACACCATAATCCCATGAGCCCAGGATGGATGTAGGCACCCAAATTCCCACAAACCTCACCTGAGACATGCTACTGGACCTGAAGACCTTCTAGATTCCAGAACCCTTGACCATCTGAATCAACATCTAGACTTACAATCATCCAGATGCCTAAACACCAGTGTAAGAACACACTGAATAACAGAAAGAACCATATGACACTACTGTAACCCAGATATCCTACAGCAGCAAGACATGTACATTCCAAAATAGCTGAGGTGCAAAAAATGATCTTTTAAAAATTTCCCCCTTTTTTTAAAATTAGAAACAAGCTTATTTTACATATCAGTCTCAGTTCTCTCTCCCTTTCCTCCTCCCCTGCCTCCCACTGGTCCCATATTCCATCCCCTTTCTGCTCCCCAGGGAGGGTGAGGCCTTCCATGGGGGATCTTCAAAGTCTGTCATATCATTTGGAGCAGGGACTAGGCCCTCCTCTGTGTGTCTAGGTTGATGGAGTAACCCTCTATGTGGAATGGGCTCCAAATGTCCATTTGTATGCTAGGGATAAATACTGATCCACTACCAGAGGCCTCATAGATTACCCAGGCCTCCTAACTGGCACCCACATTCAGGGGATCTAGATGAGTCCTATGTTGGTTTCCCAGCTATCAGTCTGGTGTCTATTAATTCCCCCTTGTTCAGGTCAGCTATTTCTGTGGGTTTCTCCAGCCTGGTCTTGACCCCTTTGCTCATCACTCCTCCCTTTCTGCAACTGAGTTCCAGGAGTTCAGCTCAGTGTTTAGCTGTGGGTGTCTGCTTCTGCTTCTATGAGCTACTGGATGAAGAGCCTAGGATGGCATATAAGGGAGAGTGAGTTAGGAGAAAGAGGATGGGAGAGGAGGACATGAAGGAACAGAAAGATTGAGTCAGAGAAAGAACAGAGGAGAGCAAGAAAAGAGATACTATAATAGAGGGAGCCCTTATAGTTTTAAAGATAAATCTGGCACTAGGGAAATGTCCAGAAATCCACAAGGATGACCCTAATAAAGAATCTAAGCAATAGTGGAGAGGGTACATTAAATGCCCTTCCCCTGTAATGAGATTGATGACTACCTTATATGTAAAAAATATTCTTAAAAATAACTTTATAAAGAAGATAGAGGCCCTTAAAGAGGAAATGAAAAATTCCATTAAAGAAATCAAGGAAAATACAAACAAAAATGTTGGAAAAATCAACAAACCCTTTTAAGAATTCCAAGAAAGAAAAGAAAAAGCTATCAGACATGTGAAGGAAGTGATTCAGGACCTGAAAACTGAAACAGAGGCGATGAAGGAAACACAAGCCCAGGGAATGCTTGAAATTGAAAATGTAGGTAAGCAGATAGCACCTTCAGATGTAAGGATCACTGACAGAATACAAGAGATGGAAGAGAAAAATCTCAGACTTTGGAGATATAGTAGAGGAAAGGATTCATCAGTCAAAAAGAAAATGTTAAATCTAAAAGATTCTTGATACAAAACATCCAGGAAATCTGGGGCACCATGAAACAAATCAAACCAAAGAAAAATAGGATAGGAATCCCTGCTCAAAATCACAGAAAATATATTTAACAATATCCAGAAGAAAACTTAACCATCCCAAAGAAGGACATGATATAAAGGTAAAAGAAATTTACAGAATACCAAATAGAGTGAATAAACAAAATAAAACAGAAAACTCCCCTTGCCACATAATAATAAAAACACTAAACATACAGAATAAAGAGACAATATTAAGAGAAGCAAAGGGAAAAGGCCAGCTAACATTTAAAGGCAGACCTATCGGAATCACACCTGACTTCTCATGGAAACTCTAAAAGCCTGTACTGATGTCTTGCAGGCTCTAAGAGGCCATAGCTGCTAGCTCAGACTACTATATCCATCAAAAATTTCAATCACCGTAGATGGAGAAAAAAATATTTCAAGACAAAACCTAATTTAAACAATAGCTATCTACAAATCCAGCCCTACAGAAGGTACTAAAAGGAAAACTTAAACCCAAGGGAGTTAGCTGCATCCATGAAAATATAGGCAATAGATAAGTGAACCAGCAAAATCCAAAGGAGGGAAATACACACACACACACACACACACACACACACACACACACACACTCACACATACACACATACCACTACCATCATCACCACCACCAAAAACCAAAAAAATAACAGGAATTATCAATCATTGGTCATTAATATCCGTTAATATCAATGAACTCAATTCACCTATAAAAAGACACAGACACAGAATCCATCCTTGTGCTGCATGTGGGAAACACACCTCAACTTCAAAGACAAACATTATCTCAGAGTAAAGGGATGGACAAAGATTTTTCTAATCAAATGGCATATGAAGCAAGTTGGTATAGCTATCCTAGTATCCAACAAAATTGACTTCAAACTAAAATTAATCAAAAGAAATGAAGTAGGCTATTTCATATTCATCAAAGGAAAAATCCATCAAAATGAGGTCTCAATTTTGAATATTTATGTCTCAAATACAGCAAGGAAATAGTGTTTATATAGCAGCCAGGCAGGAAGAAGAGACTTGGGGAACCCTAAACCTGCCTAACTACAGGTTTGTGATTGGCTCAACTCCTCCCCAAACTTCATAATTACTGTCTTAGGACTGGGTCAAGCCTAAACTGAACAGAATGGCTGTCCTGAGTCTAGGGAATTCCAAGCCCTCTGGATGGTTGATTGGCTGCTCCCATGGAATGGTGGGAATTCCTAGTCTAGGGGAACTTCCAGCCTGAGGAGATTCCAAAACCAGGGGGGGGGGTGGGTTCAAGCCTCTTGGCCTGGGATTGGTCAGTTTTTCTATCTCAGGATTGGCTAGTTTTTAGTCAGGGATAGAGACGGCTGGGATTCCAGGGCCAAACTATGTTTCTTTCTGTAATTCTTTTTCGATTTTTGGCCTCAGTTCTTGGGCCTGGGAAAATTTCTTTTACATGTCTCAAATCTAGAGGCCAAGTGTGTTCCTTTGGTGCTAGTTTAAGAGTGAGGGTATTTTTCCCTGGCTGTAGGCTAAGGGATAAAGTGTCTCTTTCAGTGGCTCAGGTCCCAAATCCAGGGTGTGTTTATTTTACTGGGTGGAGGCTTGGAGCCAAGGTGTTCAGGGTCTGTGTAGGGGATGCAGATCAGGGATGTTCTGGGGTCTCAGCCTCTCAAAAATAGCTAAAATAATCCTGTATAATAAAGTAACTTCTGGATGTATCACTATCTCTGATTTTTAAGCTCCACTACAGAGATAATAGTAATAGAAACAGCATGGTATCGGCATAAGAACAGACAAATGGATCAATGTAATTGAATCAAAGACCCCTGATATAAATCCACACAGCTATTAATGCCTAATTTTTAACAAAGAAGACAAAATTATACAATGGAAAAAGAATCTTCAATAAATGGTGCTAGTATATCTTGATGTTCACATGCAGAAGAATGCAAAAAGATCTATATCTATTGTCCTGCATAAAAATTCAAATCCAAGTGGATCTAAGACCTCAAAGTAAGTCCAGATACACTGAACTGGATAGAAGAGAAAGTGGGAAGTAGCTTTGAAAGCTTTTGTACAGGAAACAACTTCCTGAATAGAATACCAGTAGCATAGACACAGAGATTGACAATTAATAAATGGGACTTCATGAGACTGAACTGCTTCTGTAAGGCAAAGGACACTGTCAATAAGATATAGCAGCTGCATTCAGAATGGGAGAAGATCTTCAACAACCCCACATCTGACAATGGGCTCATCTTCAAAATACACAAAGAACTCAAGAAACTATACATAAAATTACCAAATAATCCAATTAAAAATGGGGTACAGATCTAATGGTGTGCAGAAAATTCTTAACAGAACAATCTCAAGTTGCAGAAAGACATCCTTAGTCATCAGGGAAATGCAACTCAAAACAACTCTGAGATAACATTTTATACCTGCCAGAATGGCTAAGATCTAAAACACCAATGACAACTTATTCTAGAGAGGATGAGGAGCAAGGGGAACACTCTTCCACTAATTGTGGGAGTGCAAACTTGGAAATCAGTATGGTAGTTTCAGAAAATTGGAAATCAATCTATCTTAAGACCAACTGCTGAGTTCTTGCTTTGGGCTGGGTTCAGATCCTGAGACAGGAAAGGAGCATGGGTGTGAAGAAATGAATTGGTAGACTACCTGATTAGTTTCACACAAGTGGCTGGTCCCAAGTAGCTTGAGTGCCTTTATTCTTACTGACAAAATAAGCATGGTTTTCCACACCACCCTCCAACATTAACCTCTGTCAAAAACAATATGTTTTCCCCCAACTTTTACATCAAAACATCTTTTAAACCAAAAACATTTACCATCTTGCTAGCTTGGCCAAACATCGAGCCAGGTACATCCTATCTTTACAAAACTAAAAGGTGATAAACATAGGTACATATTTTCAAGAACAGCAATACTGCTGCAAACTTAACAAAGCATTTTTACAGAAATGGGAGTGAATTGTCCGATCCTGTCTGCACAGCTTCCAGGGTGTAGAGTGACAGCAGGCATCCCCAGCTAAGAGACCTGAGAAACATCAGCTACCCAAGAATTTTAGGGGAAAATATTTGAGAAAAAAAGGATTTCCTGAAATGAACACAGCTGTCCCATGCATGATTGACAAAGAGACACTAAAAACCACCAAGAGAATCATCAATATTGTGAGAGAGAAGAGAGGATGCAGGTCTTGTGGTCCAAGCAGCATTCTGCACCTGTCTCTGAAGTTCACTGGTTGTTGCCAAGTGAGATTGTTCCCATGGGTTTTGCCTCATCTGGAGACCTGTGGGACAAGTACTTATGTACCAGAAACAAGACCTCAAGGC